ACGGGAAGATCCAAGAATCTCTCTCTGAAAGACAGAAGGGCTACCTGCTCCTCTGCCATGCCTTCACAGGGTGTGACACGGTTTCTGCAATTGCTGGCCATGGGAACACACCTCTATTAGACAGGTAATAATGATAACACTGTTATTACTTCGACAAATAATAGTAATAATCATCATCATCATCATTATTGTCATCATATTAAAAATATTAAAAATTATAATGGAGGCAGTGATTCAGGTACAGTGATTTTCCAGTACATTGATCATGGACCAGATACTAAATTGGGTGAAATTTGGTACAACATGTTCCCAAGGAGGGCAGTAGGACTGATCAAACCGGAGACTCTACCTCTAACAGAGGGTGCAGCATTCACTCTGTGCCTACCTGCAGACCAGGACTGGATCCTTCTACAGAGCAGGTCTCTGAAGCCCAGTGACTATAGATGGACATTAGGTGTGCATGGGTATGAGCCAGGTCCAACACCAGACCCCATGACTCCTGAGGAGCTGCTGAAGTTCACGAGCTGTAATTGTCATCGGCGGTATAGCTGCAAGAAGAATGGGGTCACGAGTATCTCCGCCTGTGGAGTCTATAAAGGCATTACATGTAGAAACTGCAGTCATGATGTTGTTGAGACTGAAGAAGACATAGACAATGACTGTTGAAGCTTCTGACATGTGAATGAGAAAAAACTCTGAGTGTTATTAAGTATGTGAAATATAAGCTGCTGTGAATGTAAATGTAAACGTGAGTGTGGCCTTTTTCAACAATGGAGTGTTGGAGTGGAGTGCAATCAAATCAGAATCATGAACAAACCCTGATCTGACCCCTCATAAGTTACTGAAGGCTGATATATTTTAAAAAAAACAACGATTTTTTGACAGTCGTTTATCAGTACTCTAACTTGAGCAGGTTTTTTCAGGGTTTCTCACCGGAGTTGAACTTCAACATTTTAAAACATGTTATTAGACATCTTTACAAACATATTGGTGAAGAAATTGTTTGGTAACAATTTAGTTGGCAGATGTTCATATGTTTCCCTTACTATGGGCCAGTTTCACCTGATACACACACACACACTAAACATACAGTTGAATAAAGGACACGTTCTGTAGCTACACATAACACCTGATAAAGTCATAATAGTTTCATACAGACAGGTCACAAATTAAAGGAAAATCCAACATTAAGTGTCTCAGTAAGGTGTTGGGCCACCATATGCTGCCAGAACAGCCACAAATCACTTTCTGTCATTGGTTATCTAAGTGTGTGGAATTCTGCAGGAGAAACAGAACACCATTCTTCCAACAGACGGTGTTTTAATGATGGTGCTGGAGAGCGCTGTCATTGGTTCACAGGTGTTCAGCTGGGTTGAGATCCGGTGACTAAAAAAAACTACAACATGTAATTCACATCATTGTCATCAGAGCATTTGGCGACTCGTCAGGTAAACAGAAGGGCATCTGTTAAAATTAATATCATAGCAGCTCTGATAATGACAACACAGGTCCTACAGCAGTAACTCAATGTAACAAAGATCAGTACAGCTTTCATTACTGAGATTCAAATAGTATAATGACGTTTTATGTTCAGCTTTATTTTAAATTCTCCTCCACATGCCAGTGTTGCACACATTTCTGGAGAGATATTTAATTTTCAGTGTCATTTTAAAAATAAAATAAAATAAAATAAAATAAAATAAATAAAATCCTCTAAGATACCCAAAAGATGTTCTGTAGGATTCAAGTCAGATGACATACTTGATCAGGTCATTGTTTCAATTCTTTCTTCTTTAGCATGTCTTGTGTGATGTTATGCTTCGAATGGTTTATCATGCTGGAATATTCCTCCTCTGCCAAGCTTCTGCAGGCTGGTAGTCATCCTGTCAGTCAGTATTATTGTGCATCCACAGACAAATGAAAGATCTCAGTCATGAAACTTGTACTAACTTTTGTTGCATTGAGTTTCTACTTTCGGCTTTGCCTGTATTTTTAATTTAGCCTTGCTGGCGTATTTAGTTTGGTAACAGGTTATACAGGTCTGAACTGTTTGTACCACAACACCCTCATGGGAATCTGATAAAGACGCACCACACAAATGTTGCATTTATCAGGGCATCACCTAGTTATTTTTAACTTCGGCCCGTAAAAAGAAATGGGTGAACTTGTGAACTTGTGTAACCTTTGCAGGAGAGAAGAGGGAGGCTGCTGCAGGATGTGTTGCTGTGGTGATGTGCTGGATGAGTTGGTTCAGGAACGCAGAGACAGGACAACGCCTTTGCATAGTTGTTTCGAAAAGTAGAACAAAAAAAAGAAAAAAAGCCCAACTGTAGTTGTAGAAAATCATCCTTAACAAGCCCAAGTTAAGTAATCAATACATGCTTAAAAATAAGCCCAAGTTACATTAACATCAAGTGGAAATCCTGCATTAGAAGCCCAAATTCAGATAAAATGAAGTGGAAAAAGTCATAGTTACATTCCAGTGACTTTCTTTAATACAAGAAGTTTTGGAACCAAATCTAACCAACCGTGGATGTGTCCATCCCAGGATGGTCTTGAGCTTCACTGTCCAAGAGAGGTCAGGGGCCAGACACCTTTAGAACTTATTTTTTGTTCAATCCTTAACTGTACAGATCCAGTTATTAAATGTCTATGATCAT